AACTAAAATAACTTTGAAAAATAATGGTATGATTCATATCTTTGCACTACAGAATGACTCGAAATATGCCGAGGTTGTCCACATGAATGCAGAGTAAATTTTTGGAATTAATGCATAATTATTACCCGTTTAAAGTAATTTTGCTCTCAAAGAATAAGTTATTCTTACACTGTCACATTTTGACACTAATCCAGACATTTTTGTGATTATGGAAAGTAAGAGTAAACCGATGATGGCCCCTTTCTATCCTTTGAAATTTGACTTTCATTTTTTTCAATGAGGGGATTTTTGCTTTTCTTTTACCTTTGTACTAACACTACCTTTGCTATTACAGTTTCTGATCATAAATTAGATTTTAATTACACGATATTGTTTGATAAAACTTGAAAAAAATACAATCACATCGCAATTGTTAGGTGCCATCAAACAACCCTATACTAAAAGTTTTTTTAATGCGGCACGTTTTAAGCAAAATGAAATATAACATGTAAACATTTTTGACCAATTCAGCTTTCGTATGATAAATCAGTATACTGGCCATTTTTTTCATTATATCTTTTGGTGTTTGTAGTGATGCTGGTCTGCATCGTAAATGATAATATTTGACATTTTTCAATATATGAATACTGTAGATCACTAAATTTTCAAGAAACCTTATTTTTTGCGAGATAGTCATTGACTCTTTATTAGCGAGAGATAAATTTCACGAATTGTTGTTATTCCTCTATATAATCGAAAGGAATACTTTTATACGCGAGAATGAAAACGAGAAGCTCATTGTCTCGCGTAAGAATGCAAAAATAAAGTTCTCGCGAATAAAAACTGATTTAAAGTATTAAAAAATATAAATCTTGATAAGTAAACGTAATGGACTTTATATCATGACTAGTGGTTGTTATCTTATTCTTATTATGGTATAAAAGTTTTGAATCAAATTACATCAATAAATGATATATCAAATTCGATGTAAAATTAACCAGGAAATAAAGAAGCCCTTTTACTCTTTTTTTTTTAACTTTCCACGAATTCGTTCATCAAAAATGTATTAGTTGTACTTTGAATAAAATAAAGAAAGTATCCCGATTTTTTTTCTTCACAATGTTATTTAACTTCATTTGTTTTAATTTTAAAAAGTATGTTTTATTTTTGAATTTAATTTTTAAAATTATGTTTCAGTGTCTTCGATCACTGACTGTGATTTATTTATATTTTTGTGTTTGCATCAGGCAATTTTTTTTTTTCATTCAAAACAAAAAATCAGACTTTTGACTTTGCATTATGCTTTGCGTAACTTGATGTGTGCATATAGAAACTGTTGCTAAAAATCCCCATCAAAAATAAAGGTAAATTATATAGTATTACACAAGATTGATATATTTTCTTATTTTTGAAACTTACAAAGTAGAATTTCTTCTCTGTTCAAAATTATTGTTTCTTTGAATTTGACAATATGTTTTGTTCATAGGCAAACACTTTCAGATCATTATATCAAGCGTTAAAATATTTTAACAAAATTCTTGTACGATAAAACGTAATGATAAAATGTATCTATATTATTAAAATCACACATCTTATCAGTCATTTTATTATTATTGATTCACATCTTTAATAATATTTTAATGTTTTAACAAACTTTTTTTGTATTCAAAGCAATTAGAAAACAACAAATTCGAGGGACCAAAAAGACATTATAAGTATACTTCAGCATTGACCTTAATATAAAGGTCATTACATAACATTGCTCAAATGTTTGAAAAATGTTGTGTTTGTTATTTGACCTTTGTCAATTTTTCTATTAGACTTAATCAAAAAGACAAAAAGAAAGAACCAGTTAAACACTAATTTTCAAAAGAAAAATTGCAGTCAGATACATATATATGAAGTTATGATAAAAAGTTAGATATATACCAAAATAATAACTTTTCTTTTTTCAAGATGAAGCATTTTCAATCAGATTCATAATCAATTAGGAAATATAATGAGGAACAAATTTAAGAATTAAATTTAAGAAATGTTTATCTTACCGTGGTGGAATCCTTGTGTCCGAAATAGAAGAAACCGACATTTACTTTGAAATTCTATCTCAATGTCATTGTTTCTTATGCAAGACTTAATTATGCTTTCTTTATTTTACAGAGACAAAACCAAAGAATGATACAGCCTTTCATTTAACATTAATTTTGCATAGCACGGAATGTGCATTGAATGTCATAATTTATATATTAGTCATCCGTCAGTAAGCAATGCAAACAACTGCTATTTTCTTACTATTTTATTTTTATTTTTGCAATTATTGTATTTATTATTGAGATCAAAGTATCAGAGACTAAATCTGTTAAGCTTGTAATGAATCCGAGTATTCATTTGAAGAATAAGTACAGTGCAAGAAGATATTTCTTTTTTAATTTCTATTACTAAAACTCAGTAAAATCTGTTCTATAACAAAATATTTTATAATACAATAGTATATTTGCAGCAGTGACCTGTAACCCCTAAAAATGTCCATTGATTGCACTAAGTCTTTTATTTTTAGATAAAAATTTACATTATATCTTCAGTGTTAAAATCTGCATAATGGTTGCCGGTTTGAGAAAAATTCAGAAATAAAATGAAAATTAAACTCGTTTCACAATCTTTTATTACAACAAAGTGAGTAATTGTAAGACCAATCATTCATTTTTTTTTCTCTCTATATAAAACAATATTATCACAGGTAATTCAATTTATGCCGCTATGAGAAATTTTTGAGATTTTACACTGTTGGATAATCCTGCATAACCCAGCGCAGTTTGTAGGATATGCACCTTTATCGCAGACGCAATTATTATATAACCTTTCATTGCGAAATCGCAACCCTTGGTTTTGTTGGAAGAGTTATCGTACTTTTTACGGATTTTAATCCAATCAAAATCCTCACAAAAAGCCATTGGTTCTTGTAAGATTGTCTATTCCCTATAATACCTTTGAAACAATTTATTAATGCAAATTAAAAAACTAATGTCTAAAGTCAGTAAAAAGGGTGGGCGTTTAAAAAAAAACAACAAAATTCTATTTCATTGAATGACATAAATGATTTTTATTAGATTTAAATCATCGCTGCAATAAAGGGGGAAACGTTATTCTTGCAATTTAAAAATAAACGTTTGTCTTAAAAATATTCTTTTTTTTCATTTAGCATGTCCTTCAATACAGATACAAGTACTTTAATTTCTTTCGTTACTCCTCACTAAGATATTGAGGGAAGTGAAGGAAAAACTTCACGAGTACTGTGCAACCATATATTCAAGAAGTAGTGTAAATCAGATGTGGATACTAAAAAATTCAAAAGAACTTTTGGACAATTTTAAATCACAAGATTTTACCAAAATCAACAGCTTAAAAACTTACGACTTTTCAACTTTATACACAACCATTCCCTACGATAAATTAAAATCCAGGCTTTTTGATTTCATTGACAGCTGCTTTTTCAATAAAAATGGAACTCGTAGATTTACTTACCTGGTAATTGGTCATTTGCAAAATTATTTTGTTAAAAAAGATTCTGATCGCACACACAAGAAGATTCTTGAGTTTCTGATTGAAAATATCTATGTGGTTTTTGGAGACCAAGACTTCCAACAATCTATTGGAATTTCCATGGGAACTAATTGCGCTCTGTTATTAGCAGACCTATTTTTGTATTCATATGAAGCAGAATTCATGCAAAATCTTATGCGTGAAAAGAAGAAAACACTTGCTGTGGCCTTCAACACGACCTTCAGATATATCGACGACGTATTGTCAATTAACAATGGTAATTTCTATTCCTACTTCGATACGATATATCCAGGGGACCTTGAGATAAAAGATAAAAGATACCACAGAGTCTGACACATCTGTTTCATACTTGGATATTTTACTTGAAAAGGACGTTAATGGTAACCTAACAACTAAGTTATATGATAAACGTGACGACTTTAACTTTTCTATCGTCAACTTCCCTTACTTATGCAGCAATATTCCTTCATCACCTGCATACGGCGTGTGTATATATCATTTGGTTCGATACGCAAGAGCATGCTCTATGTATGAACAATTTCTAAAACGAGGTAAATTATTGACAAGCAAGTTGATGAAACAAGAATATCAACAGTCATTATTTCGTAAGTTCTATGGTCGATACAATGACCTTGTCAGCAAATAAAATTTATCATTGAGTCAAATGCCGACTGACATTTTTCATACCAATTGTTAGTCCATTATTTATACACTGAATTGACGACAGATTTTCCCGCTATTTCCTGATCATGACAATGAGCACACGGCGGGTGTGACCGGTCAACAGGGGATGCTCCATGGCACCTGATCCCACCTCTGATGTTTCGGGGGTCCGTGTTTGCTCTGCTTTTGTTTTGCATTGTTTTATGGACTTTGAGATTGAATACTGTTCGTTATCTCCATATCCTTCTTACAGTCTTAGAAAATCTTTTACTTATGAATCGATTTTCTTTCCGCAGAAGTAGAAATACTCAAATAGCCATTTATTTTTTCTGTTTATAAAATTGAACAATGCTCTGACATTCTGAGAAAGACATCTTTAAAAGTATTTATAGTCAATGAATGTTCAATATGAGAGTAAAAATTTAAAATAAAGACAATATATAAAACATAATGCTTTAACACACATTATTTGACAACCGTTTGTTCCTGAGTCAGAACAATGAACTGTTCTTATGCATTGCAGAAATAAAGATGGAAGGGAGCATTTCTAGTCAATCAATGTTATTTGTTTAATAGTTTGGTCCGCGGATATCGGAATGGATAGCTCAGTTGGTAGAGCACCTGACTTGAGATGCAGGTCCAGGGTTTGATTCCCGATTCAGCCATCCTTTGGTGCCGTTGACCACCTCTGGAATTGCGGTAGAAAGTCCTGCCAGGGGGTAATAAGAACCTGGGTTGTGTCTTCAAGGGCAAAGACCATTTAAGGTGGGAGGAAGATAATGTTTTGGACCGTGGATATCGGCCTGGATAGCTCAGTTGGTAGAGCACCTGAATGAAAATGCAGGGGTCCCGGGTTCAATTCCCGGCCCAGCCATGCATTTTCTCCCTTCCTGTTACATTTGTATCATTTATCATGTTTGTGCGCTTTCCAAAATAAAAATTCAGTAAGAATCAAATGAATTATGAGTAATAAAAGATTTCATTCTAATGTTAATAATGTAAAAAAAAATCAAAACCAAAAAACCCCGACACATTTAGTTAGGTATGATAAACAAGTGATAATTCGATGATGCAATAGTAAAGTTTAAGAATTCCCATGATTTATTTTCAGCATATCTTTATCTTGCCAAAATTTTTCACAATATTGTCTACTGTGGGAAACCTAATTTGTCTCTATATCAAAATTAAAGTACATGTATGTACTCGGAAACATGGTCAAAACTATTCTACTATTCATTCTGGTTTATCTGTCTCAACTTTTACTGATATATTTTTTAAGGATTAAACGGCAAATTAACAGCTTAGACCTATACATATTCCAAAAACAGTTGTTTGAAATGTGTTTGATCACATTTGGTGCACAAGAGCAGGGCCAACTGATAGTATTTTAAAATTTCTTTTTTATCCGATTTAGGCTGCTGAAAGGAAATGGGGTATAATAAACACTATTTAAGGTAGGATTCTTCTCATATTTCTAATATTTAAGAATTAATGAAATTTTCACAGAATCAAGAAGACAATATCAGTAAGTGATGGTATCAGTGAAATTAAATTTGACCGTTTTATATTGGAGGCAAGGTCAGGTCAAGGTCATTATCTTTCTCCTTGACATTAAGAATAAAAAATAACTGTTGTCAATCATGTGATACCTACTTCTATTTCAAAAGATTAATGATTGTTCTTTTTGCCTAAAAACATATTACTATATCGGGTCTATAGCATGATATTACCAAATTTACATGAATAATTTAACTTAACTGGATATTGGTTAATCCGAATTTTCTCTGTTTTTCTTAACTTTTTTAATAGGATATATTAGTTATTTTCATATGCTTCCTATATTTAACGTTTTCTTATTTTCACATATAATAAAGTAGTCTTAGAAATGTACAAAATGATACAAAAACAAAAAGTTTTGATCGTTTACTATGAGAGAAAAAATACTTTTTATAGATATTTGGCTCAAATCTGCACTTTGATAGGAAGCGTTTAAAAGCTAATAAAGTTCTAGTTTATTTGAAAATCATATTTATTTGATATATTTTGAAAGTTTAATCCCTCATTATTAATCTAACCTACATTTGAAAATTTCTCCAAGTCTTCGATTGTGTAAAAATTATAATTAAATTTATTGTTCTATTATAATTTTGAGAGGCAGAAAAGAAGATATTTTCATTCGCCACTATTCCGCCAAAAATATAGTCCCTGCTAGTTTTCAAACACAGTTTACCATTTCTATTTAAAGTTGTACAATTGTGACGAGGAAAGAAAAATATGGTCTTTTAAATTCCTTACACCTCAATATGTAAGACATATAAGCAAATATGCTTTGAATGTTTCATCTTGTCAGAAACCGGAGAAGAATCCTACCTTAAGCTTATGAGTTCATTAAAAAAATCGGGTGTACGGGATTCTAAAACAGCAAAGGTTGGGAAAGGTTAAGAGAGAGCCTTTCCTGCCGACCGATTACAACTATGTGCTTCTTGGTATTGTAAAAAAAATGCAAAACATCGTAGAGAATACGTTGAGTAAATAATGGGCAAACAATTAATATGAAAACTGTCAGTTAGCATTGATTGATGTAAGGTTGTTTTTGACAAAGCCATTGTATCGGCCTTGAACTTTCGAAATGAAACCGTTAAATGAGATTGCTGATGTTTTTACCCACTTATTTTAGGAAATACTTGCGTATCGAAATATTAAACCCATACGCAGGTGATAAGGGTAAATTGCTACAAAAGTTTTGGAAGACAATTTAAAGCTGAAGTCATCACGTTTATTATAAAGCTTTGTTCAAAAGTTGCCATTCACCTCTATTTCTAGTAAAATATCTAAATGTAAAACCGATCTGTCAGACTATCCAGTATCGTGGATTTCGATCTCACGGGGATAGATCGAGTTGATATACTATTGGAAATATTGTTAGTTGATAATGCCTTGTTAATATACTTAAGCATCTAAATTATGAGCTGAAGGCCACAGTAAGTGTTTCTTCTTCTCATATAGAAGGTTTTGAATAAAATCTGCTTCATATATATTTGATACACAAGAACATGAACATAGACGTCAACGAACAATTTCTTGAACGAGGACAGCTATTGCCAAACAAGTTGATGGATCAAATATATCAACAGTCTCGTTTGAAGTTCTAATTTCACAAGTTCTATGGTCAATACAATGAACTTGTCAGCAAATACAATCTATTATTCTTAAGTAAATGCTGAAGGACGTTTTACGTTCAAATTGTAAAGCCATTATTTACACAGTGAATCATCTATAGATGTTTTCCTTTTTACCCAGCATGACAGATGGTGGGTGTGACCGGTCTGCAGGAGATGTTCACTCCTTAATGGCATCTGATTCCACCTTTGCTGTATTTTTAGGTCCGTGTTTGACTTGCTCCCGATATGTAATGTTTCAGAGGTAGGATCGGGTTTCGAGGAGAAGTAGGCTTGAATCTCTGTTGACCCGTATGGCTTTACTTACTGATCAGGTAGATGGAAAATCAAAGTAGACAAACTTAGTATTGAATCAAAGGAAAGGCAATTGGTATGGGGAAAAACTTCATCCAAAATAAAATACAATTACAAGCTAAATTTGTCATTATAAGGATCATAAATTTGAGGAACATACTTAAAAAAATTATAGTGTATTTTTGATAGGTTAAAGCTGAACACGATTCAAAAAAGAATGTGTCCGCCATATTTGATTGGTCTTTCGCTATATCTGAGGGTTTCTATAGAAAGCCACTCACTTGGTTACTGCTCGGTGTACTTAATCGTCACTGTGCAGACGGACGTATAATATACAAAACTCGTTAGCGACAATAAATAACTGTTTAACTTCTAATCTAGAATAAGATAGCAAAGAAACTTATAACAGTTGCACAGGACTTTGCAGTAAACAGACACAAATACACCTTACTGCAAAAATTAAACCAAGGTAATGCAAGATAACCAGCATGTACACACTTGTACTGATCGCCATTCCTAGCTGATATCCGTAACAATAAAGCAGTCAGGTATAACAAGTGTGAAGAGTATACCCTGGTGCTGATATGACTGAAAATGACGCGTATACCTATTTGCAAATCATTTTCATCTTTAAGATACCAGATTCAAATGAGATCTCTCTATTTGTTATATTATTTTACATAAAAATATGAGTTTTTATGAAAATTATACAATTTCAATAAACTGTATTTCAATGATATAAAAAAAACTAGAGCATGCAATAACCGACGAAAACACCAAAAGTTTATCTAGGTAATTATAAATTATTTTAAAAATAATAAAATAAGAGACAATGCCAGTGTACTAAATAGATTGCCAATTGTCACAAATAGAGGTACATGTATTTGCAAAGGGTATCATTAACATTTCATGAAAATAAAAAAAAAAATATTACTTTACATGATAAATAAAGGTTGAAGTATTTTGGAATGCTTCTCAAAATAATGAGACGGGAAAGACGAACCATTTCTCACTGCCATTTATTGAAAAACAGTTTCTTACAAATAGTATAAAATGGATCCAATTCCTGAACCACATCGGTCACCTATTAACAAACGGACCTTCCTGGGACCCATTGACATGCGCCACGGGGTCCATATCGTGATGCAGCCCGGCTACAAAATCCATTCCAGAATGTGCAGCCAAATTCTTGTTCCGTGATGATACATTTGTCCCTGGCAGGTATCGAATTGTTAGGGAATGATTGTTGTGGAAGGTCGATCTCGATCTAAAATTATTTTTTCTATTTAATCTCTAAGAGTCAGAAATAAAAAAAAAAACAACAGCATTTAATTGGATCTTTTAATAGATATATTTGTATGGCATCCTGATTATGGAAATTGAGAAAGGATGATCAATTTGTGAGAATATGTAAAGATTTATACTTTACATAATACATATTTGATCTTTCAAAAGAGAGAGTGAAGTAAATGTTTACTTTATATATATTTATTTTATTTTCATCATTTTGAAAAAAAATAATAATATAATATAATAATTTTTAAAAATAATTTTTCTATTTTTTCAATTTAAGGTTAAAACAGGTATACAAGTACCAGTAACTGATATTCATGTATTTGAATAAATTAAAATATATATATGGTAGATAATTTTGCATTTTAATAGGAAAATTGTCATGAATCATTATGAATTCGTTATTCTACAGTATTAGAATATATTCACCTCACAAGAGCAGTCGTATCTTCTGATTCTGTTGAAATTGATGGGACTAGCTTCCTGATAGTGATTCACACTTAGTCTGTTATCATTTGGAGAAACTATAAATGAAAAATATTTTGATTTATTGATTGATTGTATATTGTATTATCTTCCATCCAAGAATTTTTTCAGAATTTAATACAAAAAATTTAGAATAAGCTTCTTTTGTAAACGCATCAATTGTTTGCATCTAAGTGTGACTATAAACACAAACATTGTTTTGTTTGTTTTTTTATCTAATTAAGGAAATTGGTTCTGTGTTCAAGATATGATTGCTAACAATAATTTAGTTCTCACTTATTAAAATATTTATAACTCAATATCTTGAATCGTCAAAGATGGGTAAAATGATCAGAACTTGATATTTTATTACAAATTCAACAGTGAATTTTATAATTATCCATTGAATAAAATTGATATTTTCACATATATGCAATCGTTTCGCATAGAAAAAAAATGCAGTTATTAATCCCCCTTTCCACTTTTCAAGGATGTTTAAAAAAAACTACATCGTATAGAAAGCGAAAGTTAATAGACCGTCCTTACACCGATAAAACATGGACTGTGACAGTTGATCCAGAACGATGTTAAAAAATTAAAACTCATCTTTACAATTTTCATTCTTGAATTCACTTGGATAGAACGCGTCACGAAAGCTCAGATCTCGTGTCACTTAGATTGCCATTGCGTTGGGATACGAAAGATAACGTAGTATTTTACAGTTGTTGACTGGGGTATAGAGGGAAAGAGTCGATCTGTTGGACCGAAGTGCAAGCTGTTGCTAAAGGTCGCGGTGTGGCAACGCACTTTGAAAATATTACACACTTTGAAAATTTGTTTCAGAAACGCACTTTGAAAAAATTACGCACTTTGAAAATGTTTTCAAAGTGCGTTAAAAAAATGGGATAAATTCAACGCACTTTAAAATTTTTTTTCAAAGTGCGTTAAATTTGGGACATACTCAACGCACTTTGAAAAAATACTTCAAAGTGCGTTAAGAATGTACATAAATATTTTTGCCATGATGACTTTTAACGCACTTTGAAAGAAATATATATATAAAACAAAAACTCTATACTTAGATTTTACCATCTTCCCAAGTCAAAGGTTTTTGATCCGCTCCGCTCCACATATGAGATCTTAGTAATTCAGAGAAACAATTTGTATTAATTTTATCTTTCGAAAAACGTTTTAATTTACATGTACTCATTTAACCTCATTGGGAACAAGGAGAAGACGAGTAGAAGATCTCTCAGCCCAATTTTTTTTTTCTTATACATTGTACATAACAGTCGGTTGAAAATTGAAAGTGGACCCCCCCATCCCCCCATCAAAGGTAAGCCCCAATTTCCAACGCTTATATATCTATGCAAAACATTTGTGTTGCTGAAACCCCCTTCCCGGTACCGATGCCTATGCTACACCCAAATATTATGTATTTGTACAACTGGTATGACGTTGAAAAATTTTCAATAAAACTTTAGTTTGCATATAAAATGCATGCATACTGGAAACATTAAGTACAGTAAAACATTTAAGAGAGAAAGAATTTTCAAAGTATGGAAGAATCAAAATCGCTCACATTCACATCCTTGAAAGACCTCATCACCAAAGAGTTATCAAACAGGTTCAATTATTCATCATACCTACGATTTGCAAGAATATTGACCAAGCCATACACACTTTTTCAAAGTGCGTTAATATGGTCGATATTAACGCACTTTGAAAAGAAATTTTATTTTTTCAAAGTGCGTTGATGTCGTCCCAAATTTAACGCACTTTGAAAGTTTTTTTTCAAAGTGCGTTGTATAAATACCGCGGGCAACAGTTTGCAATCCGCGGTCATTCGACTGTTTCCCGAGACTATACTGGGTTCTACAATGTATAATTATACACATTTGTGTAAAAACAAACTTTTTTACTTCTAAATTGTAAGTAACAAAAGTTTCTACTTTTCATATAAGTAAGAAATATAAGATTTTGTTCGTTTCATTTTATGTTCTAGGAGTACAAGGACTTGCCATATAAGATGTATCTTTGGCCCTGATTCAGTCTTGTAGCTCCACAGGAATGTAGTTCTCCTCTTCCATAAACCGTTATTAGACCATTAGGGAAAGTAACCCCGCCCTATCAAATATAGGTATATACATGCATATGCATTATATGCACTTTTGTGGTGAAAATCATGAATATTAGATTTACTATAATTTTATAATTATTCTAAAACAGTGAATGCTTTTTGAAAAAGTCTTATAATTTCGATCTTTATTCAAGGTCTTCCAGAAAATGTAATATTAGTGACATTTTTAAATACGGTTTTTTTTTGGGGAAAAAGATTTCAACATTTAATAAATTTGATTTTTTTGTTAGTAGAAATTTGATACATGTGCAGGTTATTGATGCACCGAAGTATATAAAAAAAATACCCGCATATTTGTGGCAATATATCATTTAAATTTAAGGAGTAAGGGTCTATGCCAAGAGAAATAACTCCTAACTCAAAATTCACTTTATTCCATGTATCTTTTTCATGTCTGTTGCTTAATAATTAACAATTCATGTTTACTTAGAATTTTTCTTTTTTATCACAAATACAGGAAAATATTCATTTTAGAAAACAAAATAAAAATTATTTATCAGAGGATCGACAATTAGGATTATTTTACATCTTAATATTTAAGATTGTTTACATGTAAACTTACCTTGATATTTCTAATTACTTGAATTTGAAAGACAGCCTCGGAGTCCGATACTCTGGAAAATCGCACAATTCCACTAAATGCTGAAAATAAAATCGGAAAAGAAAAAAAAATAATCATCTTCTTAATAAAAATTTGCATATTTAAGAAAATATTTAAAAAAAAATATCAATGTCGTTTGACTGACTGAATGAACGTTGTTTTCGTCTATTCGAAATAGAACTATTTTCATGTAAATAGAGATGTGCCACGTACTAGTATGCTAGAGAAGGATTTCAATTTTACATCTATTTCCAATACTTTTCCGGGCCTATATCAATCCATGACTGTTTTATGATACGAGTATATTTATTTACAAATATTTCAATTTCCAACGTTTTGTCCGAGATGTGAAAAAATAATTATTTTTTTCTGCATAAATGTTGGTTCATCGATAGGCGTGGTTAAAAAAAAATCACGTGCGAGGCGGGACGAATAGAGATCTATAGAAACGGGGCGTGTAGCACGTGAATTTGTTGACTTAGAAGAATGTAAATATAAGGAATAACTGTCAATTTTTTTGGTTCCATGACGATGATTAATCGATTGGCTTGCGTACTTGATAATGTTCTGTTTATGCACATTAACACGCAAGCCAATCGATTGATCACATCATAAAACCAAAATATTAGACAGTTATTCCTTAATCTAATCAAAGATTGACAAGAATTGTTTTAAGACAAACTGAAGTAGTACTTAGGCTGGCAGGTCTGCAATTAGGATTGTGCCTAAAACATACTATAAGTCTTATAACTCTACTTTTAAGTCAAAACTTAAGCAAGCGTTAAGTAACGAGCTAGCACTTGGCTGTCGTGTCCGTTAACTTTTAAAGTGAAAATAATCCTTCTTACTATCAATTTTTTTAAAAATAAAATTATAGTAAAGTTGAAAATTTTAATAATTGAGACCAAATATATAGCGAAAGAAATAATGGTTTACATGTACTTGAGAAGAAAGAGATTTGCTTGAAATATAAAACAGACGGACATACGGACGGACGGAGCAAAAACTAAATACCCCGAAGCTTCGATTATGAGGGTATACAAAATCATGCAATGACTGACAAATGTAATTATACATTAATATATATGTACCTACCGTGATCATTCCTACAGAAACGCGACTGATCATGTTCTATAAAAGGTGTACATCCAAATACAAAATGAACCAAGTGGCAGAATAACAACACAAAGACGGCTTGCATGATTGTTTCAAAATATTAAGATAAATCTGTTGAATGAAAACCTGTAAGGTCCATTTATATAGACTGAGATACTTGTACTTTCCACAAATATTCATTTTTTGGGAATTAAAGGCTGGTCATGTTTTTCTTATGTGCAGAAAATGTTAAACAGGTAATTTATTTTAATGTCGTAAGTCAGACGTACAAAGAGAAGGAAATGACTAAACTGCGCACCAATGCGATTTTTTTTTTTTTAAAGTTTTTGACAATTTAATCGTTTGTTTTAATGTTCAATGTTTTAGTACTTGCTTTCCTTTTTAAATTTCAGATTAAATGTTGTTTTGAGGTTTTGACAGTAATTTTTAAAATTTTATAAATAATAGAAGTATTACTCTGATTATCGATTGATAACTAGACAGAAAAAAAACCCAAAAAGCAAATATTCTGCAAAAAGTACATGTAAGTTTATTACCTGGTGGAGGAGGGAGTTATTGTGTCATTGCATGCACTTATAATAATATGATTGAAGTAAAATCTTTGATCCGCTCCTCTATGGTTTTTTTTTTCCTTTGTCGCTAAAGGAGGCGATGATAAAAACAGAGGAGCGGATCAAGGTTCTGATTTTAATCCGATTGTTTCCACAACAGAAAGGTGTACATGTATTACATTGTACGTGTAAATGAATAACCGAAGAATACAGATATATTTGTTTATAGATTTCTTTTTAGTTGAGAGCCTTGAGTAAGTTCCCCTTCATTGTCATGATAATCTAGAAATACAAGTGTGTAAAAAAAAAAATTTTATGAAACATTTTTTTAAATTTCCTAATCTCTTTTATACAAGGTAATGCAAAAAAAAAAAAAAAAAAAAAAAAAAATGGAATCTAAAGTGCAGTTTTTAACGCTGTATTAATTTTAACCACTTTTCTGGATTGATTAGTGGAGTTTTAATTGCCGTTTTATATATGATTAATTTTACGCAAATCTAATAAATGTCATTTAATCGTTTTGAACCCTTGAACTTAAACCAAAGAAGAAAACTAAATGAATAAAAGTACAGCTTAACTTGTTTCTTCTCTACATAGAGTTAAAAAATGTCAACATTAATTTTGATTTTTTCGGTGAATTGTGGGGGGAGAGAGAGAGAGAGAGAGAGTAAAAATTGTACATAAATGAACTTTAACTATGTTTCAACAACGGTTTTTTTTTTGAGAAAAAAAGGTCCCTTGTATGTTTTGAATGAACAGTGGGCAATTTAAATACAATCACGAATTGTACATGTTTCAAATATACTCAACAAAAAAAAAAAAAAGAAACGCATATTCAGATTAAACTTGATAATCTTAGTTTTCAGTTTACTTCTTATTTTTTTATTAGTGATTTTAGAGGGTTTTGATAAAAATCAAAAATGTCCTGTGTTGCGAGTAGAAAAGTGAAGTTTATGTCATTGTCGACGCCTCCAAATTTTAGCAGCATACCGTCGAAAACATCCATATGTCCTTTGCAACGTCTAAGCGGAACTGGATTTCTAATGTACGGATGTTGTGCACAAATACCAGCTCCTCTTAGTCTCTTGCGAACAATTTATGCACTTTAATGCTGATTTTTTCATCCAGCAATTGTAGCAGCAGTTTTTACAGCAGTTCTGAATCGCATGAGGTGCTGAAAAAAAGGGGGGGTCTGACGGTCCTTCCTGGGTGTGGTTACCTGCGGATGGCCAATTCTTGGTAGTCCGACGTATGTTTAACGGCTGCAAAGCCCATTATGTGTTTCAATTTGCAGTTGAAACTTCCTGTTGCGTAGCTCCATTTAGTATCATCGTTAGCCTTGTTGTGTTCATCTTTGTTTCGGCGTGGCATTGCAGCATCAACACTGCAATCAAATCTTAAATATGGGTTTAATAGGAGTGATAATAGTTTCTCTAAATCCAAAATATCAACGAAAATAGACATACGATTTAGAAGAAATCAGGAAAAACAATACTTTCATAAACACGTTTAATCAAAGGAGATAATTCAACACTTGGGTTTTAAAACCCCATGTTGTCCTTTAAATAGGTCACAGGTATCCAATGATATAAAATATAGTTGTTCCATGTACATTTAAAAAATTTCTTTGACTAGTAAAACAATATGCGTTTCTTTTTTTGTTGAGTATATATTCACTGTCATTGTACTCCTTTGTACAGAGTGATGCAGAACGAAGAGAAACGATCAAGTCTTTACTTTAAACCTCCTTCATTGCTTTCTTTAGTATTCTACGTTAAAATCGTTGTCATCACATTGTCATTATTTTGAAATCATGATGAAGACTATTTGATCATATTCCTGGGGGACAGGGTAAGGTTACTTTTTAATTATAACGAATAACCTCTGACTACATGTACATGTATATATTGGGTACGTATAGGGAACACATTAAAAAAATCTTCTCAAGATTAATTTTAGGGTTGCATTATGTACATGTAATATCAATGTAAGATCACATTCAAAAAAATCAAACTGAGAAAAAAAACATTATGATAGTAGATCTATATAAAAAAACAAAACAAAACATAAACTCCAATCCCATGTAAAACATGAAAACCTGTTTCATGTGTGCGGGTGTGGGGAGGGGGTGTTCGTTGTCTTAAAGCTTCTAAATCTTCATTACTTTCAGACAAACTTTACACAGAGGGTGCGTGTGTCCCAGGTCCCTTTTTATTTATTTTGTATATACATTTAATGACTCTGCAAATTCTAGTGGAGGGAGGGGTCCGGACCCCCTCCCCCTAGATCTGCGCATGCATATTTGTTCAAATGGTGAACTCTTATAAGTAATGTTTAGAGAAGCATCGATTGCAATTGAGATAAAATTTTACAAAATATGTACATTTACATGGGGAAAAAAGGGGGGGGGTTAAGATTATTTTTCAAATAGTATTCCTAACCCTTTTGTGGATGAAGCCATAATATGGATTGAATTTTAATTTCCCTTCCAGAATCTAGAGTACATATGTATTTCTTCATTTTCAAGATGCAGCAAATATTAATTTTATTATTCTGTAGGAAAAAAAAGATAAAAATAGAGCATGGTAAATAAAAAAAAAGATATTTATTCATATATATTTACTGCCAAATTCAAGCTAGCTTTGTCCCCGATTATCTCACCTTGAAACTAAATATATAATGTTAATCCTCAACATCTAATTAAAAATAATGAGGAGTATGTGCTCATTATAATAATTGTACAATGCGGACTTGTCGACCTGTGTAGCGAAATTCATGTGTATGTATAAATTACTCTTAATTCTTTTCTATTCTGCTTTATTAAAGTCCAGAAATATATCAAAGCTCTATCTAGATTTATGCCTGATTCGACAATTTGTACTAGGGATTATTTTAAAGTAGACACGAGACTTGTAATAGCATGATATTAAATGGTAAGGTTATTGCGACATTGACTTTTTTGAATAAGATGTTTTTGCTTTGGTTTTCTAAACTACAAAGGAATTGACATGTGCCTTTGAAATGCACTGAAAAAAAAATGTTTTTTCTCCATCATCGTTTGAAAAATCTTGTGATAAGGGTAAGAAATAATATTTAATCTTTATAGTGAATGAAAGGAACGAGCACTAATTATACGAGTTGTTCCGGTTTTTTTTTCCTTTTTAGAATTAAATGTCTTTGAATATAAATACTTCAACAAAATGTTGTTCATTAGAAAATCAGATTAAAATCATAAACCTGACTGTAGTCGTCGAACAAGTATAATGTGCTAAGCTAAGTGCATTTCAAAAGGCGTCACAAGGGGAGGAGGGGGGGGGGCTCGCAAATCAAAACCAAAATAATATTGCCAAAGCACAAAATACATTTTAAAAGAAAGTTAATTTAATTTACAATAGTTTCCTGTCAGCCAATGTTAAAGAATACGTTAAATTAAACACATATCGAATATTGATTTCTTTTTGTAAAAAAAATCAATATTATAATACCTTGATCGGGATCGAGATTCGCAAGTGAATTTGATCACGTTGTCGCCTGCAAAAGTAAGTCATAGGTTTTAATTTGCAAGGTCGATTTATTAAAAGTTAAAACTCTTCCTGATTATCATTTATACAGTGTATGCATTTTTATAAATTCATAGCTACAATTGACGAGCAATTTAAAAATCTTGCAAATATTTACTAAAAGATCCATGTTGCAAGTCAATTGTGCATAATCCTTGATTGAATTTCACATTGTAATGGAATGAACATTGAAAAAACGATAAGTTTGAATTGTGGCCTTAACCGGGTCAGTGCGTGACTCACAAATAATGATTCCTAGCTACATGTAAAAGGTCATTATCAGATTACTACCAATAACATTACTTTGCCTTCTGTTGACTAAATATAGTATACTGTAGGCAGTCTGATGAAAAATCAAACCTCCACTGGCTCCTTTTTAATTATTTTGATTGTCGCAAGAATCATCAGAATAACAAGAGACCCATGGGCCACATCGTTTACCTGAGAAGCTTTGACCATTCTGTTCTTTACCAGATTTCCCCCTTGTTATACATAATGCATTCCCACCCTACCCCACTGATCATAATTTAGACATTTTGAAATCTACACTACCCCATGATCCTTCCATGGGCACATATGATATGTTTCAGCTTTTTTGGCCTAGTGGTTCCTGAGAAGAAGATTTTCAAAGATTTTTCCTATATATTGCTATGTAAAACTTTGATTCCCCTATAATGGCTCCACCCTTCCCCCGGGGGTCATGATTCCTACAATTTAGAATTTACACTACCCCAGAATGCTTCCACAAAAGCTTCACTTTTTCTGGCCCAGTGGTTCTTGAGAAGAAGATTTTCAAAGATTTTTCCTATATATTTCTATATAAAACTTTGATTCCCCATTGTGGTCCCGCCCTTCCCCCGGGGGTCATTATTTGAACAATTTAGAATCTACATTATACCAGGATGCTTCCACATAAGTTTCAGCTTTTCTGGCCCAGTGGTTCTTGAGAAGAAGATTTTCAAAGATTTTTCCTATATATTTCTATGTAAAACTTTGATACCCCATTTTGGCCCCGCCCTTCCCCCGGGGGTCATGATTTGAACGATGTAG